ACCGTTCTCCATTTAAATATCAAGCTTAGTTCGCATAGCTCAGGGCCCGAACCTGTGACCTAAGTCACAAGCAACCTTTTTCACTTGAACTAAGCCCTGGGGGATAAAGCTGATGGGATACTAGTCCCAAACTTTCAGATATGTCCCTGCCAAAATCTTAGAACGCTGCAATGGAAAGATAGGGCCCATGCATTAATGGAGGAATGATAAGCAATTCCACCCCAAAAGAAAAAAACAAGAACCGCAAACCACATTCTAAGTCTTCCAAAGGTCCATCCCAGAAAAACTCATAAAATCCCAATCATTTTTTTCAAATCAACAAGAAGACATGCTCAAAGAAGTTCTGGAATTCATTCTCCACTTAGTAAATACCCTTGATAGCTTGCTCCAAACCAACAACTCAATATCCAATTCTTCACACAAAAGTCCTGTTGTGTTACTTTCCTCACACATCTTCCTATTTAGATGTCAGTTGAATTTGGAAGACTTCAATGAACAACATATATGTGCACTTTCTCATCAGTACGTAAAAGATTCATTCATGCATCAAAAGTCTAGGACTAAGTAAGCGCATGTATTAAAAAAGGTAGCCCTTCCTTATAGAGTCCAATCATATAACATGTCTATGATATTTATGCAGTTTTGAGCACTGAGATTCATTAAAAAAAATTCTTTTTTGGATAAGTAAGATTTATTAAATGTTCAAAGGCCATTATGATATCATGATTCCCTTCTTATTAAAAAAAAAGATGTAATGATTCACTAAAGAAGGAAGGAACCGGAATCTGATAATTAATCCACGTAAGAGGATTGTCATAGCAACAAGGACAAAACAATCAAAAGATGATAAAGTTTACGGTTTTGACCTAGATCACATGAAATTCAAACACTTGCTTTCTTCAAGCAAAAGGAGGGGCATTCAGCCCCAAAATTCAAACCCTTGTTTAAACTATTAAACAGTAGTTTCCTGGAAACTAACAAAACACAAACTCATTCCTTTAACAAAGTATAAAATTTATGCAGAAACCATCAATTTATTAAAAGAAGCACCACAAAACAAAATAATAAATTGCTTATCATCTCCATCTAGAATCCAAACATTGACAAGAGAAGAAATTATTAGACACTTCAACTTACATTTCATATTAACTCAAGTATTTTTTTTTATAAGACATTTACACAACCATAACTGTTGCATAACATCGACTCTGAAGCAACATTATGGAACACATCAACTTCAGTGCTGCATCTATTATTTCAATCTCCATCAAATTGTTATAATTGATGACTATGATTGGTTCAGGCCACGTGTATTAAAAACGTCTCCCTAACTTGCAAAAGCACTACATATAGACCAAAGAATTTAAGAAAACGGTACATTCAATATAAACATACCATCTTTATCTTGTCTCCCTTGGAAAGCATCTCTGAATAGAAGTAACCTAATTGTATCACCAAATCCCTTGTATGCAGCCCTAGTTGGAAATACCAGAGAAAATGCTTATGGGAAAATCATAACGTAATGGAACTGCTGCCAGAAAATAATATAAAGAACTAACACAAAGATCAACTCACTAAACACTAATTTTTAGATTCTACAAACCAACACCAGAGGGCAAGAACTGTGTCTGGAAATGCTTGATAAAACAAAATTTTCACTGTCCAATAGGGAATGCGGAATGCCCCAAATTGCATGCAATACCAGGAACAAAAGATTTAAGATACTTGGAGTAGAAAGGCACACCAAAGCTTGAAAAATGAAGACTACGTCAAAATCAAGAGTGTTATACAATGTCAATCAATGATTTCTTTGAGAAGGATGTAAATCAATGATTCAATCTTGCTGTTTAGAGTTGATGACATGAAACTACTAATAGGAAGTTAGGAACAAGCATAAAGAAAGAGGGAAAAGTACCAATCCAACTATAACAAAAGCCAGAAAACATGGACACCAACTTTACATATCCAAGCCATACTTGAGTCTTAATGTTACACACCACTAAGACATGTGTGCAACACCAATCCACCGAGTTGGGACCTTCATCACCTTACTCTCATTCTACAACTAAAAGCAACACTTCTTCCCCAGTTTACTGTCTTACGTTTATTAAATGGACTCTTTTAAAGAAGTTTAGGAGTTACTTTGTACGACGCACAGCTTCTGACCAGATAACCCGTCAACTCTTTTTCTTTTATTCGAGCAATTGCGAAATCAGAAAGAAAGAAGAAGAGACATCCATATTAGATTTAGGCACAGTATAGCGTTTACGACCTTTTAGTCATCGGAATTATTTTGGTAATTTCTGATTGACAAATGGCCATGGAAGCTTATATGGGGAACCAAACTCCCTATAAAAGTAATTGGTTTTATCTGGACAAGCCTGTATGAAGCCTGTCTTAGTCAAGACAACCTCAGAAGAAGAAGCATTCCGACAGTGAACAGATGTTTTATGTGCCAGGAGGAATCTGAGAGTGTGAGACATCTATTTCTTCAGTGCACAGTAGCAGCTGACATATGGAACATGTTTTTATCAGTTTTTGGACTTGCCTGGGTCATGCCTTACAGTATCAAGGATGCTTATGAGAGCTAGTGCTCATGGAGAGTTGGGAAATCCATCAAAAAAACTTGGCAAATGGTGCCTGCTACTATTTTTTGGTGCATCTGGAAAGAGAGAAATCGCAGATGTTTTGATGGGATTTCAACTCCTAATCACTCGCTTAAAGCAACTTGTCTAATCAATTTATTTACTTGGTTCAACCAGGCCCCTGTAACTTGCTTTGAATCTTTTTTGGATTGTGTCTGCTCCTTAGTTATTCAGTAAGTTTTTGCATATGAGCAGCCACACTTTTGTTGTATATTTTTGCTATGCATCTTCTTGATGCCATTTAATGAAATTATCTTACTTCATCAAAAAATTATTTTCGTAATTTCTATTGTAGGCTGAATGACTTGAATCTATTATTTGTGATAGTAGAATCTATGGAATAGATGGATTTTGTTTTTGTGTTGTAATCTGATCATTCTAATGTTTCTTCTTGGAACCAACGCTGGAGCAACTCCCACGGACATGTAAAACTTCCATGTTTTTGCTTCCCTGACTATCTGCTACTTAGAGTGGTAAAGGATCTTCTCCTAAGATTTTTGGTTTAACATATTCAAAATATTTGACTCTTAAACTTCTCAGGATCATGTCACATGCTTAACTAACTTTACCTAGACTGCCCGGAGCCAGCAGAAAACAGGTTCCAATATAGTAATTAGTTTCTGATCATTGTGTAGCGAGATGCACAAAACTAAAATAAATAATTGCAAATAAAGAGGAGGATATCTTGGAATTGATATGTTTGTTCAGAATTCATGATTAGGAACGGAAGCCAGATCTCAGGCAAGGCAATAAGCAATATCCGTACATAGGAGGATAATTTCAATCCCATCAAAACTACAAGTGAACTTGCCATGAAACTAACACAGACCACAAACACATCCAGAGATCAGAATGAAAATATAGCAAGGTGTCATGAGAAAAATTGCCATTTGGAAATCAAGAAGATGATGTATCTGCAACTCAAAACCGAAAACTCATACTATAAATGCTGGGGTTGCTAATCATACCAGTGAAGAGGGCTCCTCCCATCATTATCCGGTACATTAAGGTCAGCCTGATACTTTGCAACAATGTGATTTAGAAATGCTGTTTGTCCATATTGAGCTGCAACATGAACTGCCTGTAAAGGAAGAATGCATACTTCAACAGTTGATATAAATGAAAAAGCACCTTCAAGAAAAGCCTCATCAAAGAAAATTAGTTTCTAGAAGGCTCTAAAATCAGAGTTTCACCCTGTCAAAGATTTGATTTATGTAATACATCATGCTTTCTAGGTTTGTGAAAATAGAAGATGAGTAATGATCAAGAGAAAGCGGGAGAACGAGAAGCCCATAACTAAGGAGGAAGAAACTAAGATAAAGAAGATATTAGGAATAATTAAGGCAAATATACTCCATCTGCCCCAAGTGTCCCAGCAGATACAAGTCTAGGTTATGGATCCTTTATTTCATTGAAAGCTTACACGTGGAGATTAATTTAACCAAAAAAATAAAGTCCTTTTAATTCAAAGAGTCTGAACCAAATTGAGTTTTAGTTTTTCCACTATGTGTTCCCAGCTACAACACTCCTCCATTCATAAAAAATATCAGCTAGGAACCTTGTTAATTCTATTGCATCAAACTGGGAGCTGTAGATTCATAATCTAAAAGACTTAACATACACAGATAAAGCTTGTTCAGTTGGCAAGATTACAATCTCAAACTCTTTCAAACTTGTAAATCATTTTGACTTTGGATGTTGATCCTAGATGCAAGAGAGAAAAATCTAAAGGAGCTTAACTCATAGGGATTCAAAACTAAAGATGACAATAAAATGAGTTATAGGAAAATTACCAACTTATACAGATAAATTTGAAAATATCAACAACAATACCATAATTATGATTAGTTGGACATTACGAGTAAAGAATGTACTCTAATTACCCGATAACCATTAACATCAGCAGCCTCAACCCGCGCACCATTCTGCAACAACACATCAGCAGCAGCAATTGAGCCCCGCACTGCTGCCCAATGCAATGCAGTCTGCCCCGCATTGTCGGTCGCATGGACATTGCCTCCGTGCTACACACACCACCAAATAAAAAAACACCAAAATTTACCTCCAAATGAAAAAACTTAGATATTCTCAATATAAAAAAGAAAACAAAGGATAGTACCTCGATGATATATTGGACAATATCAACGAAGTTGTTGAGAGCAGCCCATTGAAGTGCGTAATATCCGTTGCCGTCCGGCTGGTAAACGGAAACGCCGTCAATTTCAACGAATTTTCGGAGTTTGTCAAAATCTCCGTAAGCGGCAGCAGAGTAAACATCGATTATGGCTGGTTCATTAGGGTTTTGAAAACCCGAGTTCTGTTGATCGTTGGAGTCGAATACGATTTCGATTTCTGAAGAAGCCATTGATCTGGTAGTTCAAAATTCTGGATCGAAGTGTTGTTGAGGGTAGTTATTAGTTCATTCTGTTGCTGTGAACTTTTTTTTCTGCATTTACTGGGGAGGGTGGATTTCATTTAAAGCACAGTATTCAGGCGCCTGGATTTGTCAGTATGTTTATTACTCTACGGCTGCTGCACGCGCGGAATATTTACAACATCAACTAAAGATAAATCCAAATTAAGATTTGCATTCGGAATTGAACGAATTAACTAGAATATATATTGCATCATTAGTTTTTGTTATTGTTTGGTCCATCATATTGCAATTGGGATACAATTTAATTGTTGATCCTAAATTATGTACATTTATTTTCCAAAATTTGATATTTAGAAGGATATCGAGTTAGATCAAACTCGTCTAAACATAAGAGATTCAAGTCGTCATGTCTTAGACTAAGGTTTGATATCCGTTTATTATGCAAGCTTTGTCTAAGACTAAGCTTTGTCTATACAAAACCCAAATCATATTCATAGTCCTCCTCCTCCTTGTTGTTATCTATGTATAAAATAAAGAATGGATAGTGTCCTCCCCATGTTGGTTAATTCTTCTTTCTTTACGTTTGCATGTGGGAGCTGGTATATTTGCTGTTAGTTGGCCATTTATTGTGTTCTTCTTGGCACGGTAATGACAATTATGTTTGGTCAGAGATTACGAGTATTGTAAAGCTCAATTTTATGTCTACAATGAATTGATGATGACATTAATGAAATCTGTAAGGATATAGTAATGATACTTGATTTCTATCAGATGGTGTATATGCAACAATATAATAAACTTCTCTAAAATTCAAATTAAACATTTGTCTTCTCGAGCATGGCTTTCTAATCATTGGAGATTATTTGCACTCAAACCATAGGTTCAAAGTGAAATTTTACGTTTTTAGCACTTTATTGTATTTTTCACAGGGAAATTTCATGCATACCTTTAGGGGTGTACATCGGTGAGTAGGATCAAACCAATGGAGTCGGATTTATAAATATATAAACCAAATCAAACCAACAAAGAGGGATTTTTCAATCTCGGATTTTTTGGATTTTTGGTTTTTCCCCAGTAAAGTTTTCATAGCACAAATATGTAACTCGTGCTCTAAATATTTCTAAATATAGCAATGTACTATAATATTCAATAACAAAGATAAGAAAATCACATAAAATAAATATTGTTAATTAATAAATCATAATAAAAATGAACATAATCTAAAAGTACTATATAAGTCATGCTAAAATAAGTACATCTAATAAGTACTATTAATTACATGACTAAGCACTAAAGAAAAAGATAAACTAAATTATGTATTTTCATTATAAACCAATGCAAAATTAAAAATATATATCCAACACTATTGTCATTTCTAGTATTGAATTGAATTTGTTTTATTAGCATTAGTATTGATTTGAACTTTATTTGAGTTACTACATTTATGAGCTATTGTATAGGATAAAATATGTCTATATTAAATGATCGTATGAGGAAGTGACACGTGGAGCCGAAGAAAGACAAAAGATAGTTGAAACCGAAGGCAACGATCCCGTCAGTTCCCGAAGAGAAAGATACTCATAAAGATGAAATAAATGTCTACCACCCAGTAGCATTTAATGAGGAATATTCTACATCATTAAGTACACGGCCCGTTACAAGGAATATGGCATTCACTCCTTGCCGTTACACATTCTTCAATGGCCCTCATAATTGACTTTAAAGGGGGCTTGATCCTAGGACCTTGTTCCTTAAGTGCAGCTATAAATAGTGAGCTATGTTATCATTGTAAAGAACACGAATTTTCTGACAAACATATGCTACACTCTATTCAAAGCTCAATATAATTTTATCTTCTTGTTTATTGATATCATTGTTGTTGTGCCCGGAAGCCTTACTCCCGGAATTGCTATTTTTGCTATTTTATCTCCATCTCAAGGCTAAGTATTATATTTTAGTCTAATTCATCTATTATTTCAGGATCAAATTAATTCACTTGTCTATAAACTACGTATAAATTTAACTGTACCGTTTTACGGGTAAACAGTTTGGCGCCCACGGTAGGGCTTAGACAATTGTGTAATTAAGTTGGTCCCCTTGCCTCTTTTACTAACATGTTTGATTATTTGTTCTTAACAGAAAATCATAGAAAATGGCAGATAATAGTGTTAACAACACACACAATCTTGAGGCCCAAGGAAATCAGCCTCAGCACGAGAATTCAATCAGCGATACCCGCAGTGAGGGGAACGAAGCAACATTGGTCCACGGAAGGCAATACCCACGACATGTTCGAGAGGTGACTCTTGATGATGCTGAATAAGAGCACGTTGTCGAAGCGGTAAGGGTGTTGCAGGAGCAACAGGAGGCCATTTTAGGTCATCTCACACGGCAGGATAAGGTTATGACAGAGCTGAAACAGGCGTTATTGGGTGCTTCCAATAACGCAAATGGACGAGGCTCAGCTCCTCCTGGTGCTCCCGCAAATCAAATAACGCAGAGGGTCAATAACATCACCTCGAGGGGCGAGGTCGGCTTCGCTGGGGCCGGGGGGAGTGAGTCTGGTCACAACAATGAGAGTGATCCCTTCAAAAATGAACTCATATGGTTAATGAGGGAAGTGAACGCCCGCATTGACCAAATTCCGGGCGCACCACCAATACTGAAGGGGCCAGGCTCGAAGAAGTACACTCAGCTGCCGTACAAACCAAGCGCGGCACCAGAATTGATCCCAAAGTGGTTTAAAATTCCTGACGTGCCGAAATATGATGGGACTTCAGATCCTTAGGAGCACATCACCACCTATACTACGTCGGTGAAGGGGAACAATTTAGCTCCCCATGAGATCGAGTCGATTTTGTTGAAGAAATTCGGAGAGACTCTTACGAACGGAGCCTTGACGTGGTATTCGCTTTTGCCCAAGTATTCCATAGATTCCTTCGAGATGCTCGCGGATTCTTTCATTAAGGCCAATGTTGTGGCCATAAAGGTACAGGCCCGAAAGGCTGATATTTTCAGGATTGCACAAGGAGAGTCCGAGTTGCTGCAAGAATTTGTAACCCGATTCCAGAAAGAAAGGATGTTACTACCGGTCGTTCTGGATGAATGGGCGACTGAAGCATTCACCAATAGTTTGAATCTGAGGAGTTCCGATGCTTCCCAAAAGTTGAAAGAAAGCTTGCTCGAGTTCCAAGCGACAACTTGGGTGGATGTTCATAACTGGTACAAATCGAAGATAAGGATTGAAGATGATCAGCTCGGTTTCCTGGCATCGGCTAAGGGTCGGGAGAAGAATAAAGAGAAATCAAAAGATGATTTTGACACAGATCAAGCGGGCCGAAGGACGCGACTGAGGTTTTCAGTCGGCAGATAGGTTCGTTACCGATAGAAGAACTTATCGCGATCGGAACAATAAATCGTTACATGACAAGAAAACGTCAGGTTCTCGAGATTCTTCCTACCCCAGACTTTCAGAATATAACTTCAACTTCAGTATAGTAGAGTTGGTGTCGGCTATGAGAAATATTAAGGAAGCACGGTTCCCAAAGCTGATAAGATCCGATCCCAACCAAAGAGATCTTAATTTGTGGTGCGAATACAATGGGACAAATGGTCACCGGACCGGGGACTGCTGGCATCTGCGCAAAGAGGTGGTGATACTGCTGAAAAATGGCCATCTCAAGGAATTTTTAAGTGACCAGTCTAAAAACAATTATCGTCGCAATCGTGATAACACGGAGCCCTCAAAAGCAGGAGAAGACCCCCCCNTTGAAGACGACATCACCTTCACGGAGGAGGACGCAGATGGATTATTGCTACTGCATAACGACGCATTAGTAATTTCTTTAAATGTATTATATTTTAAAATCAAACGTGTTCTGGTGGATCCAGGGAGCTCGGCCACGAATGTCGAATGGGTGATGAAGACAGCCCTTTTCGAGGTGGTGGATGGTGATATGGGTTACAATGTTATCCTGGGAAGACCATGGTTGCACGAGATGAAGGTTGTGCCATCGACATATCACCACTTGCTGAAATTCCCAACTCCCGAGGGGTCGGAGTCTTATCAGGTGCCAAGATATTTCCAGGTACTAGAAGAGACGGACGCAACAAAATCCATAGTGGAAGAGCTTGAGCAAGTCGCATCATTCGAAAAGTTCATGGAGAGGAAATCCCACTTGGGGACAGGACTGCACCCCGAGCTCAGGTCTGGATTTATTGAATTTCTTAAATTTAACGTCGATTGTTTTGCGTGGTCGCATGCGGACATGACATGTATCCCACTGGAAGTGGTCATACACAAGCTAAGCTTGGATCCCAGCATTCCTCCAGTAAGATAGAAAAAACATCCTATTGCCGAGGCAAGAAACAAATTTGTCAAAGAAGAGGTAACTCGCCTACTTGATATGTTTCAATCCGAGAGGTAAAGTATCCAGGCTGGCTAGCTAACATAGTAGTAGTTCCAAAGAAGAATAATAAATTTCGCATGCGTGTAGACTATAAGGACTTGAATAAGGCGTGCCCAAAGGACTCGTTCCCATTGCCAAACATTGATCAAATAATTGATGCAATGGCCGGGCATGAGTTAATGAGTTTCCTCGATGCTTACTCCGGGTACAACCAAATTAATATGAACCCGGAGGAACAGGAAAAAATTTCGTTTATAACGAATTTCGACACATATTGCTATAATGTGATGCCTTTCGGGTTAAAGAGCGTTGGGGCCACTTTCCAGCGGCTCGTAAACAAAATGTTTGAAAAATAAATAGGGAAAACCATGGAAGTCTATATAGACGATATGCTTGTTAAGTCTTTGAACGCAAGTGATCATCTTAAGCACTTGCAAGAAACTTTTGACATCATAAGGAAACATAACATGAAGCTTAACCCCAAGAAGTGTGCGTTCAGGGTCAGCTCCGGCAAGTTTATAGGATTCCTGGTATCACAAAGGGGAATTGAGGTTAACCCCAATAAAATCAAAGCCATCGAAGACATCCCGGGCAAGCTATCAAGCGTAAAAAAAGTTCAAAGGATCACGGGGAGATTGGCCGCTTTGAGCAGGTTCATTTCCCGGTCTTCAGAGAAATGCCATCATTTCTTCTCGTTACTCAAAAAGAAGAACAACGTCGGACCCCGAAATGTCAGCAAGCTTTGAGGGGTTTGAAAAGGTACTTGTCAAGTCCTCAATTATTATCGAAGCAGGAGGAAGGCGAAAAGATGTCAATCTACCTAGCAATTTTAACGGGAGCAGAAACTCATTACCTACATTTGGAGAAGTTGGCCTTAGCCCTCGTAGTCGTCGCTCGGAAGCTAAAACCTTTTTTCCAATGTCATATGATAGTTGTGGTGACCACCTTTCCCCTACGGAATATCCTTCATAAACCCGAACTTTCGGGTAGGCTGGCCAAATGGGCCATCTAAATGAGTGAATTTTACATAGAATATAAACATAGGACTGCGATTAAGTCACAAGTTTTGGCCGACTTTGTGGTCGATTTCAGTCTGGGACTATTACCTCTGGCTATCAGAGAAGCCGTGATGGTGTCAGAATCGACATCAAGAGTTTGGACCCTATTTACGGGTGGAGCTTCAAACGTACAAGGGTACAAGCTCGGCATAGTATTAACCACGCCTTCAGGAGAAACCCTAAGGCAGGCCATAAGAATGGTTCCTCTAACTAACAATGAAGCGGAGTTTGAAGCTTTGATTGCAGGGCTCGAATAGGCCCGGGGACTAGATTTTAAGGTCATCGAAATCAAATGCGACTCCCAGCTAGTGGTAAATCAGGTCTACGGGATTTCCAAAGTCAAAGAGGAACGAATGCAACAATACGTAGTGAAGGTCCATGCTCTGCTTGCTCAATTCCGGGAGTGGTCAATCACGCATATCCCGAGGGAAGAAAATGCAGAAGCATACGCATTAGCTAACCCGGGCTCGTCAATGAAAATGAAGGGACCGGACTCCGGTATGGTCGTATAACTTATGCACTCGGTCCTGGATGCAGACAGCTACTGCGAGGTAAATGTGACTAATTTGGTCTGGGACTGGAGGAATGAGATCATTGATTACCTCGAGCACGGAAAGTTGCTTGAAGATCCCAAGGCATCCCCGACATTGCGCGCTAAAGCAACGCAGTATAGTTTTAAAGGAGGCCAATTATACAGGAAAACTTTCCAAGGCCCGCTGGCCCGATGTTTGGGAGCCTCTGAAGCTAATTATGTTATGCGAGAAGTCCATGAGGGGGATCAGTGGAAATCATTCGAGCGCATATTCCTTAGTACTAAAATTGGTAAGGACAGGATACTATTGGCCCCGAATGGAACAAGACACCAAAGCCTTTGTTCACAAATGCAATAAATGTCAAAGTTATGCACCATTGGTACATCAACCAGCAGAATCATTGCACTCGATTTTGTCTCCATGGCCGTTTATAAAGTGAGGAATGGATATCACCGGACCATTGTCGCCGGCCCCTAGTAAGGTAAGGTTTTTTTTGATTTTAAGTGACTATTTTTCTAAGTGGGTTAAAGCAGGTCCTTATTAAAAGATCGGTGAACGTGAAGTGGTGGATTTCTTATGGGAGAACATAATTTGCAGATTTGGGATACCAAAAGAGATAGCATGCGACAATGGGCCACAAATTATAGGCGCAAAGGTCACGAAGTTCCTTGAAGACTTGAAAATAAAAAGGATCACATCTTCGCCCTATCATCCGAGAGCAAATGGTCAAGCGGAATCAATGAACAAAATAATTATACAAAATCTCAAAAATAGATTGGAAGCAGCTAAAGGCTAATGGCTCGAGGAGTTGCCCGGTGTATTATGGGCATACCGAACAACGGCCAAATCGAGCACGGGAGAGACTCCCCTTTTCCTTGTGTATGAAGCAGAAACCCTGATCCCGGTGGAAGTAGGGGAGCCTACTTTGAGATACTTCCAGGCAAATGAATAAGCAAACAATGAAGCAATGTTGGTCAATTTGGAGTTGCTCGATGAATGCAAGGACTTGGCGCATATAAGGATGGCAACTCAAAATCACCAACCTCTGTTTATTTCAAAGTGGGAGACTTTGTTTTAAGGAAAGTAACTCAAAACACCCGGTAACTCAATTCAGGGAAGCTAGGTCCAACATGGGAAGGTCCCTACCAAGTTTCATCTGTCACAGGGAAAGGATCATACGAGTTGGAGAATCAAGATGGAGAAAAGTTGCAAAGCAATTGGAATGTGGCACACCTCAAGAGATATTATTGCTGATGAACATCACTTGTACTGAAAGTATGTATTGCACTATTTTTCCCTTTGTCTAGTTTTTGTCCAAATTAGGTTTTTCTGGCAAGGTTTTTAACGAGGTTGCAACGGAAAGCATATTATGAAGTAAGTTTCAACAGCAGCAGTAAGACCTTTTAATAATAAGGCACACAAGCGAAGAACCACTCCAGGGAGGTTAGATAATCTTTTGCTTGGTAGCAAAGTTCCCACCGGGAAGTTAAGTTTCCTATCGAACAAAGGTTACCCGACCGTTCATAAGTTCAAGTCATTAGGGGATTGTTAGATAGTCTTTGGCTCGATAGCAAAAATTTCTAAGGGGAACTGAAGTTTGTTACTAAACTGAAGATTATCTAGCAATTCATTAGTGGAATCCTCGAAGGTGTTAAACTTCTAGTATTCAAATTCGCATTCTTTGTATTCGAACACTGGGGGAATAATATGAGGATACGACAACAACGATTACCACTTCAATCGGAATATGAAACTCGAAAGCATAGTTGTATCATCGGGACCGGGGACTGCGCGGCCAGCCCCGTAGAAATAAGTTGTACAAGTTAGCCACAAGAAATGACAATTTCTTTTTAGCACAACGAATGCTTATGTACTTTTGAAAATAGAAGGAATAAAGTAAAGTCCTTTTATTTCTGTCTTGTTTCTTATCTGAACGATGAATTTTTTGCCAAAATGCTAGTGCCGTAATGAACATGAGACGTCCTCTTCAAGAGCACCGTAAACATAAGAGGGCCCTCTCTTATGAAAACCCTCATGATAAAGGGTTGATTTCGGAAGAACTTATGCCCGAAATCCAAACACTTCGGAGGAAAATACACCCAAAGCATTGCATAATCAGACGCAGACAGTAAAACTTGCGCAAAACACTTAAACGAAAAAGGATGCAAAGATTAAAGTTGCATAAATGTTTAAATGAAAGTACGTATAAAGGAAAACTCATTCAATACTTGAGCAAAAGGTGTTTTTATTTACAACAAATGTGCCAAACGGCACAAGTACAAAAGTTGGAAAAAGAAATGAAAAGCTAAGTTGTTGCATCTTCGGAACCCGGAGGAAGAAAAGCATCCACGCCCCCAGGAAAAGTGGATAGATCTGTTGCCGGCTCGATGTCTTGGCCTTCATTATTTTGACCTTCAGCATCGTCGCCTTCCGGTTCCTTTTCAGTTCTCGAGAATTCAGAACCGGAACTAGGAGAATCGAAAGCATCGGGCCTGGCCGAAAAACCAATTTTTGCAGTTGACTCCAGCTCACGGGCTTTAGCGATTTCGGCATCAAAGTCAATGATAACCGTTTTAGCCTCTTCCAAGGTTTTTCTCCTCATGTTGTACATAACATATGTTTTTTCAAAAATGAGGGAAGTCGCTCGGCTCTTGAGTTCTTCTTTATGTTGGTAAACCTCGGCAGAAAGATTTTCCCATGCGGATCTAACAGACCGAAGGCTGACATCGAGATCACATATAGTAGAGTTGAAAAGTCTATTATGCTCAATGGTTCTCTTATACTTTTCCTCCAATTGGGCACATTTCACCCCGACAGCAGCAAGCTCTTCAGTTTTGGAGTTCAAGGTCGCCTCCAAATTACTTAATCTTTCAGCGGAGGCAGCCTCGCGATCGAATGCAGCAAGAACGGCACTATGGACTTCATCCCATTTGGCCCTAGCCTCTTCGAATTGAACCCTCAGCGGGGCGATCTCTTGGCTAAGGGTCTCTAATTCTTGCTCGCTTTGTTGTAACTGAGCCTCCAACAGAATAGCCTCAGCAGCTTTAGCTTCCAATTCTGAGAGGCGAGCAGCAGTTTGGTCCCGCTCGGCCAAAAGTTGATCCCGCTCGGAAGTAAGTTCCTCCTTATCTTGAATCAACCTTTGGAGGCCCTCAGAAGCAAGAAAATTGGCATGTGAAACAAAAAAGACAAACTCAAAATACTACTACATTAAAGATAGAAGAGATAATGAAGGAAACGAAGAATATACCGCTACAACGTTGTGCATGGCATTGTTCAACAAACAATCTCTCGAGATAACTTGTATCTTTTCCCTATCTTTTTATGAAGCCAAAGGCTTTAAATAATTAGCAAGTTCCACCGGCCGGGATAGCAGATTTCATCCGGTGGAGACCGAGATAGTAACGCTCCTCCTCTGTGAATCTTCTGAGGGGGCGACATAATTTTACCCCAAGTTCCCACGAACTGGGGACTGGGGAAGAGGAACATCCTCTTTTCGGATGAATGTGGCAGGTGGAGAGGATGTAATAGTTGCTTGTGGTAGAGGAAGAGCTGGTGAAGAAGGAGATGAAGTTGATGACATTGAAGGATGAGAGGTGGATGCGGCAAGCGCAGTGCTAGTTGTTGGTTGCTCGTCAACCGAAGACGGTAGGGACCTGGTACTCAACCTCATAGTACCGGGCTCAGCGACTGGGATACGAAAACGAGAGTTGGCATTTTCCACCATCTCAAACTCCCTCCCAGAGAGTCGAGGCATCGTCCTCGATTGGTGTAATTAACTCGACAGTTTGAGCAGTCTGTTGAGCTGAGGAAAGTCATCATCTTCTATGTAAAGAAGCCCTCTCCACGCTGGCTTCCCCATCATCATCAATCATCACGGTGTGTATGGCCGATCCGGGCGGGGGGCTCATCACCACAACTTCCGGAGACGACTCAGGAGTGACATTCTTCGCCTTTTTATTCTTTTCCCCGACCGCGGAGGAACACCTTCTTTTTGGTTGCTTGTTCTCCGACCAGGGACTCCGAGAAGAAGCACTCACACCAGAAGCATGCCCAGAGACACATGTATGTGTAAAAGCCTTCTGCAGCAGCCTCGGTGCATCAGTAGGATTAGCCAAAACATCTTCCTCATGGACGACAACTAAGCTGTGGGGTAGTCCTGAATTCAACAAGAGAGAAAAGTCAAACAACTTCCTTATGTGAAAAGGTAAATATAAGATGAGTTCGACTTACCATGATTTTTGGCCTTCCACCCGTATTTTAGGGACAATTCTTTCCACGTGCGGTTATCGGGCATAGTAACGTCCAAAATTTTCTGGACCTATTGGTCCAAGCCCTTAACCCTAGGTGGAACCCAATGAGTCGCTGAAATAGGTAAAAGAAGAAGGGTCAATAATAATGTGTAATGATCTTTAATAGAATAAGAAACAAACAATAGACTTACGAGTGCGGTTCCATAATTCGGGAAAAGCTGGAGCCGTGGCCGGGATGATGTCACTGGTGGTGACTGAAAGGAATAGTTCCATCCACCCATGGTCGTTGTTATCATCAATGCTGGATAGCAGTGCATGGTGGCCACGCTTGCTGAAATTTATCATTCCCCCATGGAAGATCTTGAGGGAATAGAGGTTCATCACTCGAGCTAGGGATAACTCTTCTCCCGTCTCCTAGCACAGGCGTC